CCTTGAGAAACTAGAGCAGAATTACTGTATTATTTATTTATGTTCTTATTTATTCATGAGACACATTCTCTTATTATGCCAGATGCACTAGTTGAATCCTTATCTGACATTTTTTGACCTAGTATGACTAAAAGCATTTTCCATGGCATGTACTGGGTCTACTTTTAATTCTCTTTCCTCTATTTCTCCTGGTCTCTATTTAAAGCTAATAAATACTCATTGAAACTCAAATTATAGCAACCACTCTGTCAAACCTTCAGTGAACCTGCTGAAGTTTCTTTCCTACCAACAGAATTTTTAGACTGCATGAGCTGGTCTTTTTGCCATTTTCCTAAATCCATTTCCAAATTCCACTCAGCAACAGTGCATCCTACCTGATGCCAGCTCAGTTCAAGTGAACAATGCTTCCTCCAGCACTTGTGGTTCCCTAGCAGCGTTGCTCCCAAAGGGTTGCACCATCAGCAGAGTTCCCATGGGCAATTTCGCCAATCCTTACCTATCCTATGACCCTTTCCAAATGCAGAGAGTAAAGAGAAACTCATGCCTCTTGTCCATTTGCTTTCCAAAACCAAGTTTTCTTCCGAGCATCCTGATCAGTGATAAAGTATGCCAATTGTCCTTGTCTCTGGGGTGATGGAGAATCTCCTTGGTTTGTGTTGGCAGTTACCACCATGTCCTAATGCTTTCTTACTTGCACAAAGAACACTGAACTCAAATGAGCTGCTATATTTACAGTGACAGATTTTTACAGGACAAAATGAATAGAAAGTAAAATAGACAAAGTAAAACTGCACATGTGGCAGAGTCTGTACAGGCCTGGGCTTTTAGAGGTGTTTTATACCATTGACACTCTCCAGAAAGTGCTTGACTCACAGCAATGTGTGACTGTGAAGTGTTGCTGACCAGGAAACCCACACAGTCATTTATGTCCAGGAGTATTATGAGAAGTGAACCACAAAAGCACAGAGCACCCACATAATTGATCTTGGTCTCCAACCCTTCCACACCTCAAATTGATACAGCTTAGCCCAGCACCTCAGACCAACAAAAGGCAACATTTACCACATTCATATTTTTAGCATTTAAGTGTTGCATGGCCCTAGACTCCAGAAAATAGAATCTCAGATATTTCCTCACAAACCAGACATGAACCAGTACTTCCTTTTGAAAAGTACAGGACTTGAACACCCCCAAATCCACTGAGCTACTGAGTTAACTCTTTACTGAAAACTGTTATAACAGCCAAAATATTATGCATTTCTTATTGGAAGCTGGCTTTCTGTATGTATATGTTGTTGTAAAAAGATTTTTGGGGGAGTACTGGGAAATTTTACTTCATCCAGGCTTTCAAGATACAGATAAGAGCCACCAGTGGGGAAAGATGAAAGTGAAATAGTGTCTTCTGCATAAGAATGGGTGTCTTAGTCAGGGTTTGTATTCCAGCAGAAAGCATCTTGGCCAAGAAGCAAGTTGGAGAAGAAAGGAATTTATTCAGCTCACACTTCCACATTGCTGTTAATCACCAAAGGAAGTCAAGACAGGAACTCACACAGGGCAGGAACTGGGAGGCAGAAGCTGATGCAGAGGCCATGGAGGGATTCTGCTTACTGGCTTGCTTCCTCTGGCTGGGGTTCTTATAGAACCCAAGACTACCAGCCCAGAGATGGCACCACCCACAATGGCCCCTTCCACCTTGATCACTAATTGAGAAAATGCCTTACAGCTGGATATCAGGAGGCATTTCCTCAAGGGAGGCTCCTTTCTCTGTGATAATTTCAGTTTGTGTCAAGTTGACACACAAAAGCAGCCAGTACAATGGGTGATTGTATACATGAATTTACATTAACTCTAGCTCCCTGAATAATTCTTACACAAGATCAAGCCAGTTATCTCCCACCAGAAATGGGTTTATGAAGGTCCACCCTAATCTGAGGAGCTATTGACGCTTCATGGAAACAAATGGGAGGAAGTCACTTTTCTTCAAGATATGGCCGACTAAAGATTATGCTCCGATAGATGGCTCTAAGCCCATGAGCATGTGAGCATCAGTAATTGGACTCAGTGGGTTATAAAAAAGAAGTAAAACACTTATGAAATTGAGACAAGGAGATGAGGTCTGGATGAACCTATATGGATTAATTGGAATGTATATATGATCAAAATACATTGCGCATATATATATATATATACACATATACATATACATATATATGAAAATCTCAAAGAAAAGATAAGCTAATTTTTAAATGTTTCACAATTGAAGGATATATCTTGCATAAGTGATATGTTTATGGTACTGGCATGTAGCACATTGTCAATATTTTTGTAGCCTTTATCAAGCTACTATTGTATCATTAAATAATTGGACAGGATGGGGCCACAGATTGTACCACCAACCTCAAGGATCCAAATGCTGGCTTTCTCACTATTAGTTTATAGACACTATCTAATATCTTAATTTTCTTTCCATGACGAAGAAAAGAGATGAAAAAGGCATTTGTTTCCCAAGAATTCTGAACAGGGACAGATGTGTAACACGTGCTCAGGAAATGTCCACTCTTACTGCAGATTCCATTTTTTTTCATTTTTTATTGGTTATTTTATTCATTTACATTGCAAACATTATCCCTCTTCCCAATTTCCCCTCCACAATCCCCCTATCCCCTTTTCCCTCCTCCAACCACTATGAGGGTGATCCCCTACCCACCCACCAATTCCTGCCTCAGTGGCCTAGCATTCCCCTATCCTGGGTCATCAAGCCTACACAGGACCAAGGAGCTCCCCTCCCAGTGATGCCATATCCAACTTGAGCCATAGGTACCCACCGTGTACTCTTAATTGGTGGTTTAGTCTCTGGGAGCTTTGGGGAAGTCTGGTTGGTTGATATTGTTGTTCTTCCTATGAAGTTGAAAACCCCTTCAGCTCCTACAGTCCTTGCCCTAACTTTCCCATTGGAATCCCTGCACTCAGATCAGTGTTTGGCTGTGTATATCCACATCTGTATTGGGCTGGCTCTGGCAGAGTCTCTCAGGAGACAGCTACACCAGACTCCTGTCAGCAAGTGCTTCTTGGCATCAGCAATAGTGTCTGGGTTTGGTGTCAGCAGATGGAATGGATCCCTAGGTGGGGCAGTCTCTGGATGGCCTTTCTTTCAGTTTCTGCTCCACTATTTGTCCCTGCATTTCCTCTTGACAGGAGGAAAACTCAATTAATATTTTTGAGGTGGGTGGGTGGCCCCATCCCTCAAGTGGGGGCCATGTCTGTCCACTGGATATGGTTACAAAGTCAACCTGCCAATAATTCACTTTCTCCAGATTAAATCAAATAAGGATAGTGAAATGGTGAAAAACATGAGGCAAGCAGGGGGCTAACCTCTGTCCATGTAAGAGATTAGCAGTATAGATATGTACCATCTAACATTCACAAGACTCGGCTCTGTCATTGATAAAATGGATTATATTGATCTTGAGTTAATCAAAATAAAATTATGAAAGCTCAACCAACCATCACTGTCACTGGTATCAACCTCACCTTTCTGTGTCAAGAACATAAGTGAAAATATTTATATTAAATCGAGGTATTGTATAGTTCTTATCAAAGTGCATTTTGTTTTAAGTATATATCAATAACTCATGCTGTGAATGTTGATTAAACTAGATTTCTGTAGCATAGACTGTATTTAGGTACCAAAAGTCGAATTTGAACAGTTTTTCCTTTTAAGACACCCATATTGCTTTCAATTGAGTGACAAGTCTTAGAAATAAATTGACATTTCAATGATTGAGAATGTACAGAATAATATGGGTTCAAATAGTTATTTTTTGCTTCAAAACTGATGAGATGAAAGGTGTAGCATTTATCACTTAGCTCTCTTTCCAGCTCCAACCTGACATAATTAACCTCAAACAGTGAAAGAGTCAACTAATTACAGAAAATCACATACATTTTTTTTGGGAGGGGGAGCTAGAACCTGGATTCTAGGTTTGACTCTGTCAATTTTCCAGCTATATACATATGTGCCTCCATACATCAGTATGTCGCCTGAGGTCAGTTTTACCCATGATAAGTAGCTTTATCTATGGGTTCTGCTTACTTTGGAGAATTACTGAGAATTTCAAATGAGCTAATATATTTGAAGTTGCAAAGAAAGCCCTCCAGTAAAATATGAGGGTATTATGAGATTTTTATCCCCAAAACCACAGGGCAGTATACTTGACAAAATGCTACAAGTATTATATAAAATTTAGAAAGTGAGAAGAATTTCATGAGGGAAAGAAGCAAATGGTAACTATTCCCAAAGAGAAAGAATGAATTTCAACCTCTACCATAGTAACTCAAGGAGGCAAGTGCCAGCTTTTTCTGGTCCAGGGACTTGTACCTCAGAGAGCATTCCTGAGTTTGCCATTGACCTTCATATCATGACTCTAGCCTCCCTCCTCAAGTCTGGCCAGTGTAAGTGACCAACAGGAGCATCATTAATAATAAGAGGACCTATTGGCTCTACTAGCAAGGATTTGTTCTCTAAGAAATATAAAACAATGCAGATGAAAAGAAAAAAAGGAAGGAAGGAGGGAAGGAAGGAAGGAAGGAAGGAAGGAAGGAAGGAAGGAAGGAAGGAAGGAAGGGGGAAGATATTGAGACAATATCTATTATTGAAATGCTGTGTCTTAGTAGATTTTATCTCAAGGTATTTGACCTCAACACTGAGCTTGGAATAGAAAACAGTCCCAAAATATGTTCTTGGAATACAATCATTTGTAGTCTGAGTTTTTATTTTGCCTTGTTTTTAAGAACTCAATAACAACTGTGGGATTCCAACTTACTTTGAAGTGTAAAGTTTTCTTTTGTAGAATAATAGCTGTTGGTGGCTGAACACTGTTTAGCTAAAGAACAGAAGGTCTTTAAGATCAGATAAACAGCAAGGAAGGAATGTCAGGTACATGGGTAGAGGGAACTAATGAAAAGTGAATTGATGGCATGGTGCATGTTTTTCTCCACAGACTGAAGCAGCTCTGATGTATGATGCTGTGTACATGGTAGCCATTGCTTCCCATCGTGCCTCTCAGCTGACTGTCAGCTCCCTACAGTGCCATCGACATAAGCCATGGCGCCTTGGACCCAGATTTATGAACCTCATCAAAGAGGCAAGTAGAGATTCCTCTTAGCCTATTTGCTTAGCATCACTCAATGTGTGTATTTGACGAATTTCTAGTAGCATGGTGATGCTAACAGAGGAGCAGCCACTGCCAATCAGTCTTCTCAGATCTCAGTGACAAAAGTTTGCTTATAGGAACTACCCTGTATTTTCAAATATGATACTGTAATATTCAAATGAGCTATTAGATCCTAATACTACTAACTGCCTTTCATTTCAGCCATGCTTCAATAACACTGGGCTGTCCACACATAGGAACTTAGATGTATGGAATCCATAAGGGATGTTACTTCCCACATTATGGGTCTTTGGGGCTTCCCATGGCTGAGGCTTTTCAGCACTCAAACAAAGGACCTCTTTATATCAATTTCCCCTTTGTTGATGAAAGAAAAAAGTGTGTCTCTGTTCAAAACTTACTCAGTGTCCTACACGTTCTTTAAGAGTGCCAGATATTTAGGAAGAGACTGTTCATTACTAATACTCAGGTATTAAAAGCTATCCCTGCCTTATCTTGTTCTCTGGTGCAATTTAAACCCCCTTCCCAAGACCCTTGAGAATCACAAGAGTCTTAAAATATGTGTGCCTTTGGATTATCTTTGAGACCAGCATGCACCTGTGGGAAAAAAAAGTATCTTGGGAGCCGTAAATCTGACTGAATATATACAACATACTGTGATATGCTCTAAAATTGTCTCCATGGGATGCAGAGGTTTATTCACCCATGAGGGTGTAGCTTCTTCCCTACACATTCTGGAGAAAGTCAGAGTGAGATGCACCTCTAATTGAGAAGCATATAAAGGGGCAGATTACAAAGGGAGAAGGCTGACTGCATCCTGAGGGAAGTTACCAGCTTTGGGCTAGATCTCTGCTGGTCTCCTCAACAACCATAGAGCACCTCTCCTGCTGTTCAATCTGCTTCCCCTCACAGGCTGACTCTAGTTCATAAAGGTAAGGACCAGAGAGCAGTTATATGTAAGAAATAAAACTCCAACCACTAAGAGAGGACAGCTTTCAGGACTGAGCAAAATATGCATTTTCATATGCAAACCCTGCCCTTTTTAAGATGGAGGAAGACTTTTCCTTTAAGTTCAGCTTCCCTTCTTTATTCTGTCCCCACTGGCTGCCTAGATATAAACCCCAGCTCCCCTAATGCTCATGAGCAGTCTAACAAGGGTTAGATACTTAACCTTCCTGTGTCTGGAATTTTCATCTCTAAATGGGAATAGACCATCTATTTTCTCAGCATCATTGTACAGAAATTGAGTAAAATTACTGCTTGTGAAGAATAGTGAGGGGGTCCAGGAAGCATTTGAAATATTGGCTTTCCTTAGCATGAAAACACACACTTATAATAGCCTCATTCAGTTTACTGAGGATGGTGCCAGGGATTTAAAACTGGCAAAACAACAAAGAAATCACAAATAGGCATGAAATGAAATGCCCTCTCTGACAGCTACATAAAAATGACACACTGTGGCTAATAGAAAACTGTCACATGGCTGCCTCTTCTCCCCCACAGTGATCAAAGTCATGTCCTGAATTACCATCCTGATTGTCTTGATCTTTAACAAGAAAACACCTGGTTCCCTTTTATCTCAAAGCAGTGAGAGGAGAGTCAGAATCCCTAAGAAAGCCAGAAATCAAACACCTAGAGCCATCCAAACACCCTTTGGCTTCTACTTCAGCTGCATGAGAAAGTGAAGTTGTCAACCTCCATTTAGATATGTATAAAGAAATAATGAGTCCAAAAGAAGGGACCACGTGGACATCAAGAACACATTTTCTATTTTTGTACTACGAAGAGCAAACCCCTCACACTCAGGATCCATGATTGAGAGTGAAAGGAAGGCCATCAAAGGAGCATCAGAACCATCTGTCAGATCCTTCCCATCCACACCTTGGCTCCTGAATTACTCTGATACATGTTACCTTTCCCAGGGATGATGGCATGGTGGTAGGGTAGGGAATGAAGACTGATGTCCCAGGCTGTTGGAAAACCAGCAGGGAAGAAATTCTGTGATCTACTGATCCCCACCCCCACTCCCCAAAAAAGAATGTTTCTTTGGCTGAGAGCATAGTCAAATTTTGCAAATGTCAATGTTCATTACAAAATATGAAATAAAGTCCTCAGTCCTAAAACTTCCCCAGATCTTTTCCTGGAGTCATTTTCAATTGCCAAGTGATTTCCACATACAGAGTGTGGAATAATGATGAGTCAGCACCCTAGATTTATGGGGTGAAGACCAACCTAGTCACAGGAGTAAAGCTCCTGGGCAGAGGTGGCTGCAAACTCAGTAATCCCTGACACGTGTGCAGCATTCTGAGTGAGGAACTCAGATGCTCTCAAATATGCATCTTAAACTAACTACCACTCAGCATCCGGGGCTGACAGTAAAAGCTGCAGAAGTACTGACCACTTGGAACGTGATGCTGTACATTACAGTCAGCCTCCTGGAAATTTCCTAAACAAACGTATATTAGAAGATAATAATTTTCCACTCAACAAAAGTTGCTGAGATTCTCTCTTGTAAAATAATTGAATTGGTTTGCTCTTCTGTTGCTGTGATAAAACAATGAATAAAACAAGCTTAGGGGTGGAACAGTTTTATTTCAGTTGTATTTCCAAATAACAGTATACTGCTGAGCAAATTCGGGGCAGAAAATGAAGCAGGAAACAGGAGGCAGGAACTGAAGCAGAAACCACTGGGGAACATAGTTTACTGGCTTGCTCTTTCTGGCTCTTGGTTAACGAGCTTTATTGTATAACTCAGGACCACCTGCTGGGGGATCACCACCTACAATAGGCTGTATTCTACCATATCAACCAACAATGAAGATAATTCCCCACAGACTTCACCATCCACCAATCAAGTCTGGGCAATCTCTCAGTTAAGAGTCCCCCAGGTGATTCTTGATGGTGTCAAGTTGGCAATAAAAACTAACCAGGATAGTATTATCTTTGTGATTCTGGGAATCAAACAGAGGATCTCCCTAATGCTAGACAAGTGTTCTGCCAATGAGCTATATTCCTGGGCCCTGCCCCACATATTATTAACATGTTGTCACAAGGAATAACCCTCTCACCAAAGTAGAAGCTACGGTTTCTACCATCTACTAATATAAATTCTACCTGGCTGAGAATTACCAGGCTTCATCCAAATCAATCTTGTCTCACAGCATAAATGCTGAACCATTCAGCAGAATTTATAGGCTCTTTGGTGATCTTGTTTCCAAAGCCCTGTGGCATCCCTCTGATCTTCTACAGTGTCACCACCCTTGTTGAAACTGTGATGTCTCCCTAAGTATGTCATGTAGTCATGCTCAATCCCCTGGCCTCTGGTTGGATTGTCATATTTGTTAGGATCATGACTTATGTCTGATGCAGGCAGCAGCTCCTGTCTTCTGATCCTGACCCTACACCTTTCTTTCAACAATAATTTTACTGTCATATTTATTTTCGTGTCTTCCTCCACGCTGCGAGTTTTTCCAATCTCAATTCATTGACTTTAACACAAAACAAGTAAACCAAGTCATAGATGAAGGATAAAAGGAACTGGAAAATACATACAACCTGCAGAAATGGAGGTAAAGCATGGACCAGACATGTTAGCCAGCATTAGTGACTCTGATACTAGGAGTGGCAGCAGGGCTTATAAATCTATCAATCTATTTAGTTCCGGAATGGGGAACAGAAATCTGAGGTTAACTGCAGTTTGCTCTCTGTGTAAACTTGGTCATTTAGCGTAAGATTTCTTACCTTCTTCTCTAACATGGGGATAAAAGCACTCCATATATTTATGTGGAACACGCGTATATTGTATGAAAAAGCCTAGCCAAACCTATTATGTAGTTGCTGCCTCATAAAAATTAACTGTCATCAAATGGAAGTTTCCGTGAAATGTACATCAGTAATGCAACTGTCAGTCACCCAGGACATTGTCCATCATACTATAAGCACTGGTCCTTTTCATTCGTGCCATCTTCATTGTTATTGGAATCTAGGATGGTTGGCCCTTGTTTGTATGAATATGGGTAAGACGTTACAGTGAAAAATCAGAAGAGCCCAGAAAACTCGGTATCTGATCTAGACATTCATATAAAAAGAGCTTGGGATCTATAGAACTTCCCAAGATAATCACACACATGATTACTCAGGAAAGTAAAAAGACACTAAGCAATTACCAATCACTTCAAGAGTCTCAGTGTTTTCAATGTTACCAAATACCTAGGTAGTATACAAGTCAGCCATAGACAAATCCCCAAAGCAGTCATAGTGGGAGTAAATATACTCAGGCTTCCAGGACGATGATTGCCAATCACAAGTGCTGGGAAGTGCACTAATAAGGTTCAGTACAGGAAAGCAGTGGGTTCTAAACTATGTTCAAAGTCTCAGGCTCTGAATGAAAACTGATTTAAACCATTTGTCCATGATCTCCATAAAGTACATGGACATCTTGGGGTAGACTCAGTTCTGCCCTAGCTATACAGCAGCTGCATCCTCTCTCATTACCTCTCTTGGAATAGTAACATGGCCTCTAAATAGACTTTGCCTTGTGACTTAGAGCCATTTTAAGGTGAAATACAGCACACACACACACACACACACACACACACACACACACACACCAGATAAGCATAATTTCATAATAGGTATTCTACCATATACACACTTGCCTGGATCCACCATTCTTCATATACTGGGGACAGATGGATTTCTCTTAGTGATTAAAATCTGCCTAATGAAACCCACTTTGTCACACTCCTCTCAGACCAAGAAGCTTGTTTCTTGGTTGTCCCTTAGCTAATTCTCACTCCGAACTCATTTTCTCTAGCAAGCCTCCCTGCCTTGTGTTTCAATATGGCTCCCTCCTTAGGTTCATACCCCCTGCAGTTCTCAGGGTCAGCACTTAACACACACCACTCAAGCACTGTAGGGCCTTTCCCTGGAACAAGGACAAAAACCACTTTATCTTTGTGTCCTCCGTGCAT